GTCCACACCTCAAAGAGTATCATCTCACTTGGAAAATATTATTAAAAATAATCCTAATGAAAGAGTTGAGCATTAAATCTCAATAAATCAAAGTTTCTGAAATTTGTTGTTAAATTCAATTTAAAAAAAAAAAACAAAAGTTGTGTGGTTTGCTCATTATAATTACTTTATCATTAACCCTCCTGGAAGTGTCGTTAGAGAGCAAATAAATCCTTTTAAACAGTTAAGGTCTTCACTTATAGATTCTAGTTCCATCTTGAACTGTTATGTATTGATTATCTCAATTATTTTGTCAATAATGTGTGCACAATTACATTAAAAGTTCCATAAAACAGCTTTTAGAAACACTTCATGAAAAAAAATCATGTAACTGCCCCCAAATCACTTTCTAAATCCAATATTCTAACTTGAAATACAAACTCGTTGATCAAGAAGTACAAAAGCAAAATAGAGAAAATAATCATTTGATCTAAATCTACTGAAGAAAAAATCTGAATCCAATGGCCATTTAAGATATGCTATTGATTAAAAAAGTAGTTATGTTGGAATTAATATTTACATAATCTGTTCTCAAAACTTTCAATCCCTCTGAGATTTTAGAGGAGTGGCCATCATTCACAGAAGTTTAATAAGGCATGAAATCTGCAAAAAAGCAATTTCTTTTTCAAACACCACATTACCTTTTTTATGACCCAAAAAATGGACAGGAAAAAATACAGTTTTTCAAAATTATCTCAGAATGCAGTCATTATTCTACTATCTGATCAAGAGCAACTCCCAAATACTATGTGCCGTTCAGAAAGTTTTTTTCATTAAAAGAAAAAGAAAAATAGGAGAGAGAATTTCAGTGTTGTATGTGATGGCAGCAAAACTGCTCTGTTATTACATAAAACAGTACATAGAAATACAGAATTTGGCCTCACTAGATCAGAAGTCTAAGAATATTAATGTTCTGTCTTTAGAAACTGCCTGTGCTTTACGCTTTAAAGACTGATGAAGGAAAAACCTAATTTGTCTCAACAATTTGGCAGTGTGATATATACAAAAAGAAATAGAGACAATACTTTCCAAACCTTGTGGCCATCAGCCTGCCCCCTTCAGCATTAAATGTCTCTATTAATTTGTCAGGCTGGAATGATGAACTTTATTGATGCTTAGTTACTAAATGATTTAGCCCACAATACACTGCATTTCCATATTTTTAATAAAATTTTAGGTGCATTAAATCAAAGAACTCTCAATATCAATTTAAATTGACACTGGGAATTTATTTGTTCTTCCAGAAAAAGGAAGGCTTTATAATTGTAACTTTTTAGGATAGACATCTTTCTTTTTAGGCAGTTTTCAGGCCTTTATCACGGTGTTTTGTATTTTTAGATGATGATTTAGTAGCAATATAATATGTTAAAGTTTCAAATAAAAGCCTCATTTCAACCAGCTGAATGATATGGATACGGTATAGCCCTGTAGTGTACCACATCCACAGGTATATCTCTGGTATAGGAAAAACAGCACGGGTGCGTAAGTCTTCCGAAACAGCTCAATGGAATCTTTTAGCTTATTAAACATACAATTGCACCTTTTATTCGTCTCTGTAAGAATATGCCCTCAAGTTGAGGAACAGTTCTTCAGTAGACCCTCCTGGTATTATGTCTTTGGCATGGTCTAACAAAAATGTCACTGTGTTTAAGTTGGGAGGGTTTCTCAAGATATAAAAAGCAACATAAGACTCACACTGACTCTTGACTGATTCTCTTATCATTAAAATCTAATTTAAAACAGCTCTACGTACCTTCATATAAATTATTATTTAATCCAAAGTACGCATACTCAAATAAAGAGCAAAGCCAGAATGCTTTGGAATTATCAAGGCAAGAAACTGGAAACAAAAGAAGTGAATACTTACTTGGATGGACATTAAGAGGAGTTTGGGGATGTTACAAATATTAATACAGGACAGTGATTGCAAATGCTACATTCCCATGTGTCTGGTCTACGCTTTTGTAGCCTTTAATGAAAATTGTTGAGCTATATTCGAACACAAAGATACAACTATTTGAGAAGGCTTACAATCTACAAAACAACAGCTGCAGATGAAGTAGTTCCCTTGTGATAAATTAAGACAGTCTACAAAAACCGCTACTTGCAGTTCAGCTTTCCTTATCATGCTTTCATCAGTAAATCAAACTCCATCTCCCTGTTACGGCTTAAGAGGCTGAAAGCCTTGCATTCTCACAGTCTTGCACATATGCTCAGGCACCCTATGAAGGAGATAGATGTTCTGCACAGGTCTTACAGTGTGTTTTAACATGCAGGTTTTGTGGGTAGATTTCCTGTTTTCGCTTCTCATTCAACTAACAGCAATCTTCACATTATGTTTATTTTACCCTTTCTGTTTTGCAGCACCACAGGTCATCACTGTTAACATGGCCACAAAGACTTAAACTTGCAAGCAGAGAGCTTGCAAAAGCATCAAATATACAAACAAATTTATCAAATATATCAAAACAAATACACAAAAATAGTTCAGATTCATAAAACAATGAATGTTTTATAGGAACTCCTTTTAGGCAGTATCTCTTCAGAGGCTCATAAATCATCAATTCAATCATAAATTCAACTGATTTAAAATAAACATGGGCACAATGGATAGAATACAGTATTATGAAGATTTTCCTTAAAACTGAGTACGTAAGTTGCACACACTGTTTTAAATGGCAGCAGACTTAGCTGTCCGTTAAACTGAAGTTAGCAGTTGTAACTTGCTTAAACTTTCCCAAGTCTTACTGCTCAAAATGGACTGATTTGATAATCAGGTTATGCAAGTTTAAGTTTTACTTTATTTTTCAAGTTACTTTACTTATTTATAGAACATATTATTTTTTCGCTCAGGCACATTTTAATTTAAGAACAGTTTTTGCTTATTAATTTCTTATACTACCATGGTATTCCATTTGACATTTAAACGTAACAAATCTTAAATAGATGTAATTCAACCTGTAAAGAGATGATACTCCTTCCCAAGATGTAACTTTGCTGTGATACAAAACTCATTATTATGGGCTGGTGTTTTAAGACTGCCTTCTAAGAAATCTAAAAAATATTTGTTCCAAATGTATTACTGCTAACTGTATCACTTCCAAACTTGACTCACGAAGATGTATTCACCTCATGCATCTCACTTTGTAAAGTCAAGAGTTAGACCAAAGATAAGTTTGACTTCTTGTTTTGTTCTTACTCAAATTACAAAAAAGAATAGTAAGAAACATGATGATATTTGGTTACTTCCCACAAGAACAAAAAAGGGAAAGCAAGGTGATTAAACAACACAGTTTGCAGTGGAGGACCTAAGGTTTAGAGCACAGATTCAACAACCTGACAAATTTGTGCAGTCATATCAGATGACACTGCTAGATATAATCTGAAACACAGTATAGTCTAAATTTTCAACACCAATTCTGATGGCAGAGCTTTTGTTGCCTTTCTTTCAGAGAGACAATGTAGGTGCTAATTCTTTTTTTTAAGACAAACCCCTCTAAAGGACCTTCAAGTTGGCCAACTGGAAGACTTGCACATTCTGAATTACCATTCACATTTCATAATTTTGCCCAGACTTAGTAGATGGAAATGAGAACAGCTGTTTGTAAACGGGAAGTAATCTTATTTATTCAGATTTATACACACAAGCAAAAACCACTACACCTATCCATGTGTTATAAGCATTTTGAATACACACTACACCTATCCATGTGTTGTAAGCATTTTGAACACTTGAAACTTCAACACAACCAAGGCCCATAAATAGCTAAAGTGTAACTGTATAATAAAACAACTGTCCAAACAACTATGGAAACTGAGCAACCCAGTAATAAATTAAAGGATTTCCAAAGGATTTCCGTATTCCAAAGGGAATGGATTTTTTTTTTCCAGTGCCAGAAGCATACCACATGAAGAACACAGCAGTTCATCTATTTGAGACATGGCAGAAGGAGAAAAGCATATTCAAAAGTCCTAATATCCTGAAGAATATTTCTAAGCTTTATTCTCGTACTTTCATACTAGATTGGGGTAACAGTTCGAACATCCCCTCTGATCTTATCTCTGCTGCTGTAACAGAAACACCTTTTTAGGCAGATACATAATCAGTAACTGGTGTACAAGCCAATACTAATACTCTACGGCATCTCCCAAAACCCCACAAACAGACAGCATAGTTCAAGGAACTCAAGCTGAATATTACCATACTGTCATAATTCACTGCACAAACAGATATTGCCCTACCGTCATCTTCTGAATGTTTTTCATGCATAGCCCTATATTCTCTTACTTGTAGTGACAAAGACATTGGAGCCTTCATCTGACAGCTTGTATAATTATGGGGTTGAAAATAAAAGTCTCTGCATAAAGCATGGATGCATTTTTTTTTAACAACTAGTTACATTAATGTTTTCAGTGATTCTGATCAATGTTTTTGGATTGCCCAAGCATCTGGCCAAATTCAAAAGGAGAAAGATTGCTACAAAATCATAGAAAGATTTTAGGAAGGAGCTCATTATTTTCAGGTCTGCCAGACTTCATTATTTACATGGTTGTTACCTTCCCCCTATGCTATTTAAATTATATTTTTTATCTCCATAGTCTTGCCCAAAAGAAGACATGTAGCACTTTCATTGTCCTCTGATTTGATGACTCACAGATATTTTTTGAATTCAGACCATTTTTTCATTAATTTATCACTGTAATGATCACAAAAAAGTTTTGTACATAAAAGTGAAAATGAAAAGTTATTGTGCTAATGCATTTCATTATTTGCAGGCTAAATGAGTGGAAGACATTTATTACTAAACAAACTCATTTTATCATAAATGCAATCCATTACAGCAATAATGGAAATATCTTACTCCTTTTAACATTTTACTTGAGCTTTTCTCTGCTTGCTAGGAATTGTAGTTACGAGTTTCATTGTGCCAAGGACAGACCAGTCTTTTCCAGACACTTACCCTCTGACAGCATGAATAAGTCTCAGTGATGGATAGGCAGTTCGCACTTTCAATTTATTCTTAAGGATTAATGCATTAACCCACTCCACATGCTTCTCTCCGCCTTTGACCATGAAAGCAGGGATCCAAAGGACACTGTCATTCAGCATGGAGAGTCTATGCACAAATTTTTCTCTGTCACTCTGATTCCGAAAGCCTCCAAATGCTCTTTGTACAACTGATGGGTTCATGGTAATAAAATCAGATCTAGTTCCCACATCGGCAGCAAACTCCACCACAGGAGCTAGATTGCACCTGAAGAGGAAGAAATTAATGGAAAAATGAAAATAAATATGAAACATTAACTCAGAAAAATGTGTGCATGAAGGGAAAGCTGAAAATGAACATGCAAGCCCATTTCAATTTAACGTGAGAAGAAAATACCAGTCATAATAGGCGTGATAACACATAGCATTTTACCCAACTTAGACACTCATTAGACAAATTTCTTAAAAACATTAAATGTACATAATGCTGTGAGAAAAAAAAGATCTTTGCACGCATGAAAACCATGTCATCATGCTTTAAAATGCATCGACAGCTAGAGTAGCACTTTTGAGTAAGAGTATGCTTTCTAACACCTATTACCTTTCATTAGTGTTCATGTTACCAACAGCTCACATTCTTAAAGGAAGACATGCCAGCCAATTAAAAATATAATTTACACAGGTTAGTCATTGCATTTTTTTTTACAATACAGCATTTAAATATGATTTAAAGTGAACTTTACCCCATGTTAAATGAGTTTGGGGTTTTCATATTATCACTGCAGCTGATGAGATGTTTTGAAATTTAGTATTTTCATTTCATTTAGAAGTGAAATTTTTGGAAAAAAGTATTAATCTTTCCATTTTTCCTTGATGTCTCATTTTCAAACCTTGTTTAATTTTGCAGTAGCTTTGTGCTTTTTTCTAGGCTTGAGAAAAAAGTCTCATCAGGCCTTTGTTCAGCATAGTTTTTTACCTCAGTTATATAAATACATGTATAAGTAATCACACAGAGGCAATATTCTCTAAGGGCAGCACTAGATGCAGGTGACAAAATGCAATTCAGAAATCAATTGTGATTCCAGTGACCAGTATGATCTGACTGAAACAAATCACCTCAATAACATCCTCAGTGAATTAGCCCGTAGCTGGTATGCCCCAAATAAGTATTTGACACAACAATATTTTCACAATTTAATGAATTGCTTTGTTGAGGTGAAAGAAGCTAAGAAGCAATGTTGGAACTTGTTCCTTCAAAACATTTGCATGTTATTCTATTCCTAATATGAACAGTATTCTATTAGTTCTGCAATTCTTTTCTGGTACAGTAAACTTCTTACTTAAGCTTATCCCTTAGCATCTTCTAATGGCCAGATCTCCAATGTAATAAAAATAACTGAAGTCAGCAGGGCAATATTGATTAACACCAACTGATGACCTAGTCCTGACTGATAACACTAATTCCTCAGAACATCATTTTCATTCTGTAATTATCAGCTAAAGAAGTGGTCCTATCTTCTTCAGAAAGAGATGTTCTGAAGACCATAAAGCCTACATATTCTTAGGAGATAAAGCTGTCCAAGCTTCTGATGACGTGTGGGCAGATGTAAGTTTTCTTAGGAAACGGATTTACATTTTTCAGTATTTTTATACATCTATTCCACAAACCACCTGCATGTATTACAGGCTGCTAAGAGTAATATCTTTTAGAAAATTGTAGTTAGGGCACAAGAAAAACTCCCACTGATTTCAATACTGGCTTTGAAAATTGTTTCTAAAAACCTTAATGCATGAACATATAACCTTGAATTGTCAAAAGTTTGGCGTTGCATAAAATCTAAAAATAAAAAAACAAAAAAAAACCAAACTAAAGACTTAAAATCAACCAATCAAATTCACTGAATTACTGCTGCTTTTGAAAATACCTCTTTTAAGGGCAGACTGAACAACATAATGAAGGATTCTTGCACAGCAGGATTTTTTTCAGTAGTCACACATATATGCACATGATGACATCTGTTACTTACACACATAAGACAGAGCTTGACATTGCAAATCCTGCTCTCTGTGTGTCCAACTTTGAGAAGCACCTATGTACCAACAGTACCTTGTTTAAAAAGCTATATGACATACGCAAAGTGTGCACATATAACACAGGCCTTCTGGTTCTAATATGATTCCATGTCTTTTGACAGCTCCTTTCTGATCTGCCAACAGCATCAGTGCCCAAATCTTAAAAGTGTATGCAGTTTGAAATAAGTATATAAACGTATTTTCACCTGGATCCTGAAAAAAATCATCACAGGCGTACCAAATACAAAGTCTACCTACCTCGCATGTCATTACTGCTTCATCAGTAGTATACTTAATATCAAATACTGTATTTTAGAAAGGTATACAGCATACTAGTATAAATTCTTAACATATTGCATATTCAGATTTTTCAAGTATAACTTCAGAAAGTAATGATCAATCCAAATACACTCAGTAACAATGGGGTTGTCTATGAACAGTTATTTAGATTAGTCATATTTTTCAAGCTTTAGTGTCTCAAATTCAACACCTGATTATAATATTAAAGGCAGGTAAAGCATTTTGCTTTCCAGATGCTGAGCACCTCTTAACCTTTGATCTTTTAAAAATTCAGTTATATAAATATAGATTAGTAGGAGAGCTGAAGTTTGAAATAATGTGATAAGAACACCAGCACTTTGAAAGGCTCTATTTTCAAAGAAGTAACTAGATGCTGTTAGCAGTAGACTGCCAAGATTGTTATTTTAGTAGAACACGAATGCAAGACAAGCTCTACACAAATTTCTAGATCTGTTAAATAAACATTACTGACTTAGTTGTAGTTGACCAAGTTACAAAAATATTACCCTCATTAAGCCACTTCTCATTTTCTTAGAGGTTAGTGCTCATTAAATTAGAAGTGCCAATATTGAATAATTACTCTATATTTATCCACAAAGTTGGAAAATATAAAATACCTGCTAAACCCCATCAATTAAAATCACCACATTCTTCAGTAGGGAGTAAATGGAGCAGTTATGTCAGAAGTGTTTCGATAAGAGTTCAAGAGTTTATGAGCTAGTGATTACCCTAAACTGCTAGTACTAGATAATTTATATTTCCAGATGAGTTCAAGAAAATTTTATAGAAAGGTATGTTTCAGGGCTAATAAAACTAGCTATTGTGTATTTGCATATAGACCTGATTATATGTAAGTAGCTTTTGTTACCTGTTTCAGAGCTTTTATTTTAACCTCTAATGCACCTTTATGCTATGCCACAGTTTCATACAGTTGTTGGAATTTTTAAGTTTATTTTGTTAGCAGGCATCAATGATCTTCCATCAATTCTCAGCACTCTTTCAAGAAAACTTCGTATTCAGAGACACACATAAACATATACTTATTTTCTTTTAAGTCCAATTAAGAAGCCTATTAACTGAACAACTTTGAAATAGGCAATGCAATATCTCTTCCCCTGTTATATTCTTTAATTCTAGCTCATCTGTTGTAAGGCACAGAATGTCGAATATATCCACAACAGTGATGAGGAGGTGAGGAGGACTCTGCACCGCAAACTTTACCATTACGTGCCTAGGAATTTGTACACAACAAAAGAAACCTTACTTTTTTTTTTTTTTTTTTTTTAAAAAGTTGTCATTGCTATATCAAATCCAGCAGGAGGAATAGAGGACTGTAATTTACTGAGTTTCCTCTTCTCACATGCTGCATTATTTATACCTTGCAACTGTATGTTTCCTTAAAATTTTACTCCAAAACACCGTTTTCGGCAACATACCATCATCTTCCATTCATTCTATAAAAACTTCAGTACTGCCTTCATGTCAGTCAGCCTGCAAGTAAGAGGGCTGCAGGTCAAAGCTGAGCACAACAAACTTGCTACGAGGTTACTAATACTGAGAATATGAGAACAGTTTGGAATTAACAGTCACAAAAGCACTGAAGATCGACTTGAGCAATTAAGCAAACAGCTGTAAATGTGAGCATTGAGAATATACATCACATTATATAAAGGTTTGTAAACCTCCTTCTCCTGAGCCCAAGCTATTGACCGTTTCCAGAGAAAATGATGAAATGTGGCTTGTCCCAGCAAAAATAATTTTGCAAAATAATGGTTGGCATGAGTTCCTTTGGTTTCCTTTTTTTTCCCCATAAAAATTCACTGTAAGTGTATTCTTCAAAACTAACAAGCTTATGGCTATTTTTTCTATATAATTTTGTTTAATCAGAAACTCTAACTCCTTCTTTTTTCCCTTGCACTAAACTAGCAATTAGAGTCATTATTTGCTCCCTTACTTCTTCTAAGCATTCTCTACAGTAGAAGCGTTCAGAAACTGGTCTATTGAGACAAAGATTGGTACATTTGGGAGAGAGGGGTAGGAAAAAACCTAAGTAAGTGGGAAACATTCATAATCTGTGTGATTGGTAGCATCATAGGCAATAATATGCAAGGTACCTCAAATTAATCCTGCAGTTCCTGTTCTTCCCATGACATCAGCCCAGTCCATATTCAAAACCTCAACGCAGCCATTTCAACAGGGTAGTTAGTCTAAACATACTATCAGGCATCAATTATACAATTTAGGTAATCAGTAAGTTTACAGGGCACCTAATTTATATAGCATTCGTGTATAATCATGATACTAAAAGGCAAATATATATATATAAAAAATTCATAGTAAAAATGTGGCGGTTCCCACATACGAGCTTTCAGTGTGACAGCAGAAGATTTTCGACAGGAATATGCACTGCAATGCTATCACTAAAAAGAGATCAGGGGTAAAAGGGAAAAACGAGTTCATGTATGAAATATCATATGGTATTTGGGTATCTGTAGAATAACTGAGTTCGTAAGATACACAGACCAAAAAGTCTCAGTGATTGAAAACCTGCTTCTTCCACAACCGTCTGTTGCATACATTAGTTACAGTGGGATATATTAAGAAAAAGCGTGGGGAAAAAAGAACCGAACTGCCAATGGCTGGAGTTGCATGCCATGAGAAAAGACCAAAGAATGAGGTAAGTGCTGCTATACCACACCTACATCAAAGTAATCAACCCTCAGTTTGCTGTGATGCCTTTATGGCTCAAATACATCCATAACATACTTAGCCTTTTAGAGAGCAGAGCTTAACGAAGAAAATAATGAAATCATATTCACAAAAATACACTCAAATGAGAAGTCAGTTATTCCACAGAGATTCAGTTGAACTCGCTTGGTCACTAATAAACATATA